GGGGAGAGGTGACAGCTCCACGCCAGCGCAGGCAGCAGCCCCGGCTCTCGCCGGCCTCTCCCGTTCCTCCGGTTAATCCCCCGCGCTCCCACGTCAGCGTTTCGTGGGTGCCCTTCGCGGGACGGCAGAGCCGCGTCCCTCCTCCCTGGGAGGGGTTTCGGCCGGGGCTGTTAAACCCCCACAACACGTGGCCCTGCGCTGCTCATAAACGTGTGTGCAAGCAGGCGTGCGCACGCGTGTCCGGGGCTGCTCCCGGCCCACGGCGCCGCAAACATCGCGGCTCGGCAAACGCTTCTGTCGAAAAGGGGAGTGGAGCAGCAGCCCCCCAGGCCTTTTATGCACCTGGATTTCGGTCCTTGCCCCGGTGAGCTGAATACAGAAGCGCGGTGAGGGAGAGGTCCTGCCCTGGGCGGTGTTTGCTGAGGCTAAGTCCTCTCTCTCCGTTGCAAATGCCGGGTCTGGTATGCAGGGCTCAGGTCTGTGTTTTTCCGATCTGCTTCACATTGGTGAATCATCCCGCAATAAGCAAACACAGCCAGGGCGCTCTGCCTTTCCTTCCTCCCCACGGTTGGCTGAATCCTGATCCTAAGAGCTGAGGACGTAATTTTGCATCTCCCTTGTTTTTGCTGCTCTTTGGAGAAGTACGTAATAAAATATGTCTCGAGACTTGTCTTGAGGGACTCCAGCCCCCTGCAGCCTGGCCCAGTATCCTCCCCTCACGTTGTCTCTCATCACTCAGGTCTCATGCTCCGTGTCTTTGCCTCCACGCTCTCACCAGAGCAAATGTTTCACTGACGCTGAGGAGAGCAGAGCTGCCTTTCTGCCTGCTCCCTCTCCTGTTGTCCACAGCAGTGCACCTTGGCTCTGCTGCTCTCTGCAGGGGCTGAGCCTTGCCCTGGCTGCGCCCGGGGGCCTTGGGTGCCCCCGGGCACTGCTTCCTAGCAGCCTGCTTTGGGGATGCCAGGTTTTGTCCCTGTATGGTGCTGAGCGGGGTGCACAGTTCTTGGGGACACTTTATCCTGGAGCCCAGGGTGCCCTGGCCTGAGGCTGCTCCTGAGCATGAGAAAATAAAGTGGTTTAGGGATGCTGTGTGCGTGCCCGGCCAGGGCTTGCCCTGGGAACCCTTTGCCCACGGTGCTTGGGGCTGCATAATGGCCGCTGCAGCTTTTCTCATCTCCTATTTCCAGGCTGCGAGCTCACTGCCAATACCAAATCCTACACGTTTCAGGTGGACGAGGAAGATGACTCCGACCACATTTTGGCCCTGTCTGTGGTAAGAGAATTGAGGATTAACTGTGCTTGTCCTCTTCCATAGTGGCCCACAGCCTCACCCCCGCTTCACAGGCTCATTCCCCCTTCCCGGGCCAGGCTGGACCAGGGGACTCCCTTGGCTGAGGTCTTGGCACTGGCTGCTCTCAGGGCAGGGCATGGGGCTATCACGTTTATCCATTGCACAGAAATGCTTGAGCAAAGCTAGTGGTGGCGGGAGGCTGCTCAGCAGAGGACTACTCCAGACATGGGGTAAAGGAAGGTATTTTTTCCTTGTATTTCACCTTGCTGGAACCTCCCACTAGAACATGCCCTTCACACCAGCTGGGTCTCTGGCTTGTTGCTTTCCAAGCCCAGGTAGGTGCAAGGCTTCATGACTGGCTCTCCCTGGGGGTCACTTTCTGTCCTGGGAGCACAGGACCTGCCAGCATGGATCAGATCAGCAGAAAATGCAGCCCAGGTGCCATGTCTTGAGGCAGTTGCAGGAACAGCTGTCCCAGCTAGGAAAGACACAGAGCATCTCTGCAGGCACTAAGGGGGCAATTGCTGCAGGGGATGCTCTGTGCTCTCCCTGTTTTGGGAGCAGCATCCTCACACCTTGCATGGCAGCTGGACTGGTAGTATTGCTGTGGGTCACTTGTCCCATGGAGACCCGTAGCTGCCCCTGCTGTGTCCCATGGGAGAGCAGGAGTTCACAATCTCTGCTCCCGCCCAGGTCTGCCTCACGGATGGTGCCAAGGACGAGTGCAATGTGGTGGAGGTTGTTGGACGAAACCACGAGAACCAGGAGATCGCTGTGCCTGTGGCAAACCTGAAGTTGTCATGCCAGCCCTTGGTAAGAGGTTGTTTTGAAGACTCAGGTGGGATTGGCTGCAGGGAACTGGACATCTCTGGATGTTTGTGGACCTTTCCCCTAGGATCCTGACCATGAGCTCACGGGGAAGTGCCCTGGGTAGCCTTGGCTTGGCTGCAGATGCCCCCAGAAGGACATGGTTAATTGGGCCACGTGCTGTGCTGGGGACTGCAGGACATTCTGCTTTTTGCCTCTGCCCCTAACTCAGCTCCATCTCTGTCTCTTTGCAGCTGAGTCTGGACAACTTCAAGCTCCAGCCTCCGGTGACCTTCCGCCTGGCAGCAGGCTCTGGCCCAGTACACCTCACCGGCTGGCACCGGATAGGTTAGCACTCATGCATGGGGAAAGGCTTGGGAGAAGCGAGAGGTTTGGAGGGGCTCTCTCCAGTGTGAACACCAGCTGGGGAGCCCCTGGGAGATGTGCTTGGTGCTGCCCAGCATGTGTGCTCAGTGCCTCCATTGTGCTGGTTCCCCAGGGGGCATCTCTGTGCAGGAATTCCTTCCCTGCCATAAAGCCTTGCATGGGAAAAGGGGTCTGGATGACCCACACTGTCCCCTTTTCCCATGGCTGGCTGTCACCATTGCCCTCTGAGGCCTCCCTCCAGCTGGGATACAGCTTATTGCCCGCAAGCTGCTGTTAAAACTGCTCCAGTGCTCCTTGGGCTGCTCTGCTCTTGGGGTGTCTGGGGGGTCAGTGGTATTTGCCAAAGACATATGTTGGTAAGTAACAGAGTTATTTGTATGTCCTAGTGCACAGGGAAGATGCTTCCTTTGAGGAGGACGATGACTTGTCTGAGGAGGAGGAGGAGGAGGAGGAACTTGCTCCTATCATGCCAGCCAAGAAATAGAAGAGGAACCAGTAACTTATCTCTAGGCAAGGTGAGGGGCCAGGAAGCCTTGGTGGAAGGGTCTGGGTGGCTGCGACGCTGGTGTGGCAAGTGTGGGTGGAAGCTGCCCTGCTGCAGGAGACTGCTGGTCTCAGTTTGGTTCTTCCTCCAGGTACTCGCTGGGACTTCTCTCCCTGGATGGCTTTTACCTCGGACACCTCTTGCCAGGACCTCAACATTTGCTGCTTTGGTTTTTTTTGCTTTTTTTTTTTTTCTGTTTTAACTTTTTGGGGAGCAGGGGCTGCTCCCAGCACTGGGGTGTCTCCTTTCCCACAGCCCTGGGAGGTTGATCCCAAAACTGGATGGATGCTGCTGGTATATCTCCTCTCCCCCCATCCCTGTGCTGGGAGTCAGGGATGGAGGAGGTGATCCTTGCCCTGTGCCTTTTTGCTGTCCTGGACCTCTGCTCTGTGCACCCCCTCTTCCTGGCTCTAAATACCCAGTCCTGGCCCCTTCCCCAGCAGATGGACAGTGGTGGGACAGGCAGTTTCACTGATTCTAGTGTGTTTGCTTTTCTTTACTCACAATTTGTTGGTTTTTATGCACTTGGAAGTGTGAAACCGGGGCCCAGGCTGTGTCCTCAGCTGCAGTTATGGTAGGGTGGGAGCTCACAGCTTGTCTGATGTGGGGGGAGGTTCTGGGTCACCCTGCTTTGTAAAGAACTGTTTTTACACTCTGAATAAAGGTCTCTCAGGCATCAGGGCTGGAGGGGGATCTCTGCTGGCTACCAGGTTCCTCCCATGCACATTTCAGTGGGAGATGCTCCTCCATGTCCAGTCCCTGACACTTGCTTCCCTTGGTGATGCTGTGGAGCTCCCAGGAGGGACTCGGGGGCTCCTCTCTTTCCCCTGTGGGCTCTGCGTGCTTGTGCCCTGCAGCTCAGCGCTGCATCCAGGCTACTGAGGGAAGAGGCAGAGTTGCAGGCAGCTCTATGGGGCAGGGAGCCAGATTCACATGTGCTCCCAAAGGTAATCCAGCCATCAGCAACACCCCCCTGGTTTGGGCCACATTGACCCTGGTGCTGGACACTGTCACAGCAAGGTCCTCGCTTGTGTCCTGCTCTCAGCCCAGCAGTGCCCTGTGGAGGGGTGAAACACCAGCACCTGCAGGCTGTGGGGCAGGTTTGAGCTCTGACCTTTGTTGAGGAGTTGTATTCCCCCGTGTCTGGGTACTTGGAGAGGGTTTGATCCTTTCTGTGCTTCAGTCAGGTGGCACTTCTCGCGCCTGGGGGCTGGTCCTGTCCTTAAATGTTTCTCTGGTGGTTCCCCTGCATCCCATCTTGGATCACTGGCCCACGGGTGGATGCCTGTCCCAGCCCTCCTTGTCTGTGACACTGGCTGTTATCCCTGAGAAGCAGCATGTACTGTTCTGCCCTGCTGGCTCTGTCGGTGCCCTGGGACCGTGAGTTTCTCAGTTGTGTGGACTCCGGTAGGAAATCCTCCAGGGCAGATCCTCAGCTTGGGCTCCATCCTAGGTCGTGAGTGGGGCCGTTTCTCTCTGGGGCCTGTGCAGCTCCTTCCCACCTCCCCACTGTTCTTCCTGCCCCAAACAGCCCTTGATCGGCTCCCCTTGACCAGCACAGAGGGAGGCTTTGATGTCTCTTGCAGCAAAGCGGGGAAAGGACCCTTGGCATCCCAACCCCGTGCCATGGGACCCTGCCTGCCCGGGAGGCACCAGAGGACGGAGAAGACCCGGCCGGGGGCAGGTGAGCCCCCTGGCTTCTGCGTGGCACCCCGCAGCAGCGCGGGGGGAGGGCGCCGGCGGGTCGGGACAGGCAGCGGCCTTACCCCGGTACCGGCCGGTGGCGGGGGCCGGGGGGGGTCCCAGCGCGGGGACCGCTAGGTGGCAGGCGGGCAGCGCGGCGGCTCTGCGGCCCCGCTCCCGGCCGGGGGGACCGGGGTCCAGCCAGCCGGCCCCTGGCCTCTCCTCGCCTGCCCCTGCCTGGCTGCCCGGTCCTGCCATGAGGGCACGCTCTCCGGGTCCGAGCAGCCCCTGGGATGTAAAGGGCATCCAGCGTTCTGCTCCTGATCCGGGTTCCCGGGTGGAGCGGCGTGCTTGGGTCTGGTCCTGCGGGGAGGATGGGTGCCGGCTGGGAGAGGTCGCGTCCCTAGGGAAGTATTGCTCGTCCTGCCATCCCAGGGCAATAGGTGCCCGGGGCTGGCGGGTTGTGCCCATGCCCACAAGCACTGTGAGATCGCCCTGCAAATCTCATTGCCCTGGGGAAATTTGTGGGAAGCGGGGCGATTCAGCACCCTTGCTGAGCAGAGATGTGGGAGCATCCTCCCTGAGGGCTGGAGGTACGTTTGAGAAGTGCTGGTGGGGCACAGCGCACCTCTGGCCTGTGCTGATGGTGCAGGAGGGGAGTTCAGGGCTGTGACGGAGCTGTGGCTGTGCTGGTGCAGGGATGGCGCTCAGCCCCTGCCAGGGCTGGCACACAGGACCTCGTAGATCTCCTTGGCTCTGTGCATGTGGAAGGGGTCAGGGCTAATTTATCTGCTGGGCCTTGGTCCTGCTTGCTCTCTGTGGAGGAGCAGCTTGGCTCGGGGGAGATAAGAGCTAGTAGATCATTTCTAACAAGGTGCTTCTGGAAGGGTGGGCTGGGGGAGGCAGCTGGCTCGGAGCCTGGTGGGAGGTGATGAGGGGAGGGAGTGCGCACGGCTCAGCCCTGGCAGGGTAGTAGAGCTGCTTCACGTGGGGTGGGAGAGGCAGTACTGGCTGATGAGAAGGAGCCTTTGGCCTCTTAAAGGGTAGGAGATGGTTTCAGGGCACTGGTCTCCTTGGAGGTGTCCGGGTAGCTGGGACAAGGGGCTGTGGCAGGAGGGACAGCCCTGCTAGGGGGCAAAGGTGGCACTGTGGGGGACACAGTGCTGGTGGCAGGAGGGTTGAGGAGACCAAGCTTGTCCAGCCCTCTGCAGGACCAGCCCATCTCAAGGCCTTGCCATGAGTGTTGTCTGGTCCCCAGCCCTGCTGCAGGGTGATGCCAGGGGAGAGGGAACACTCTGAGCCCAGAGGGGGCAATGGAAGGCTGGGGGGTGTTGGCACTGCCAGACCCCTTTCTAAGTGACTTGGGGAGGTTTGCTCCCCCCCTCTCCAGCAATTTCACAGCCTTGATGTGCTCAGCTCGGGGAGAGGGAGATAAATGCTGAGATGGCAGGCGGCTGGGAGGGGGGATGCGCTCACACACAGTGCTTAATGGGGAAGGATGGGATTACAGGGGTCACGCTAGGTGAGCAGCTTCCTTCGCAGAGCTGATGGTATCAAAGCAGGTGCCCCCGGCTGCAAATACCTTGGGCAAACAAACAGGGTTGTCTAAGAGCAGGTGAGCTTGGGCATGGCCAGGCTGGGGGGTGCTCAGGGGTGACGGGGGGCAGGACGCTCTCTGTGCGTGAGGAGTGAAGCGTGGAGCTCCCAATGTGAGGGCTGCATTGTTTTGCATAGGGTCAGGGGAAAAAAATGAAGCTGTTGTGTGTCTGCGTACATATGTGGGCTCCACGTGCTAGAGAGGCATGTAAGGGGATGGAGCCTGTTGCTCTCCCATGGGGTGGTGGAGGTGCCAGTACCCAAGGACCCAAACGATGCCCCAACCCAGTTGATGGCTCAGGGCTTGCTCTAGGAGGTGGTTGGCTCTGAGCATCCCTCCTCTCTGCTGCATTTTGGGGCTTTGCACGCTGACATTGGTGGGGATGGATCCATCGCTGCTCCAGCAGCACCAGGGCAACCCTGGCCCTGGCTGAGTCATGCAGCAGAGAAATGTGGCCATAGCATGGCTTGTCATGGAGGTCACCATGCATGAGCAGTATGGTCATGCACCCATGCTGCCACACTCTCCGTGGCTCTCCCAAACCAGCCTGCTGCACCCGGTGAGGGACTTGGGCTGCTCACTGCAGGCCCTGGCCCAGGTGCAGCCCTGCTGGGCTGGGGCTTGGCTGCCTGCCACCAGCCAGGCAGCTGAGCCTGGCCAGCATCTCCCAGAGGATGCTTTGGTTTCAGAGGTCAGGTTTGAGTTGCTTTTTCAGGGATGGAGGAGCAAGATGGGGAGCTGCACTGCTGAGCATGGCCAGGCAGCAGTTTTCCTTGTGATGCCCCAGCCAGTCCTGCCCCAACAGTTTTCTTGCTGGGTTTCAGCTCTCCATGGCTGAGAACTCAGCCCCAGGGCGGCTGAGAGGCGCAGCTGTAACTGTGCTGTAGGTGGGGCTGGTCCCCTGCTCCATGAGCTCTCTGTTGCTGGTTCCCACACTGAACTCTGGGGTAATACTGCTTTTTGCTGAGGCTTGGCTGTCTGGGCTATGGGGGAAGCCAGTGGGACACCCCTGGAGATGCAGCATCACCCATTATCCCAGGGAGCAGTGGCTCTGCGAGGTGGGGCAGAGAGCCATGGGGTGCGTGGCACTTCAGTGGCACCAGGAAAAGGGCCAGCCAAGCCACACTCAGACAGGACCATTCTGGTGGTGGGTGTGATGAAAGTCCTGTTCTCTGCAGCATTAGCTGACTGTGCTATCCCTGTTCTGTCCTGCTGAGCAGTGGGCACAAGTACCTCTGCTGTTGCCTCAGGGAGCCACCGGCACCCTAACGCGCAGGGCTGGCCCTGGCAGAGCTGAGCCAGGGACACATTGCAACAAAGAGACGAAGCAGCAGAATCTGGAAGGGCCAGGCTGCTGGTAGTTCCCATCCTCTTCCCATTAACACGCCTTGCAGAGGGAAATGCTGCTGGTGCACTGTGTGGGAACAGCTCTGTCTGCGTGAGAAGCTGAAACTCAGGTCTGGGATCGTCTCCTGCTTGCTGGTGCTCGGTCATGTGCTGGGTCATCCCCAGTGTGCCTTGAGCTGGCTGGGAGCCTGGATGTGTGGGTGTTTACCCCACCAACTGCTCTGCAGGAGAAGAAGAGGCTCCTCCAGCTCTCGGCTCCACAGCGGGTGCCAGCGGCTGATTTATCACAGCTGCTCCCGGCTGCACATCCCGGCACAGGAGGTTGCCTGTGGCCAGGCTCTGCTCCCGGTGTTCGCAGGCTGCAATAGCGGCTCAATGTGTCTGCTTGCAGTGGGGATGTGTGTCCCCAGATCCACAGCACTGCCCAGAATACAAGAGGGGGTTGTTTCCATGAAGGTGCTGCTGCAACAGCTATGGCTTTGTGGTCTGCAGTGAAGGCACAGCAGAAGGTGCTGGAGGAGCACGGGTTGATGCCAGAGCAGAGGTTGTGCCATGAGTTGGGTTTAAACTCATGAACGCATAAAGCAGGTGCTAAAAATGAACATGGCTGGGCTGTGGTAGAGACTCCCAGGCAAGACAGCCTGGGGAAGGCTCCATGGCAGCCATCCCACACCGTCCCCTCCCGCATCCCCAGCACAGCCCATCTCATGTCAGGGCGGCGTTAGCAGCTCTGTGCTCGACAGCCGCAGCCGAGATACCCGGAGGTCACAGGTGTCCTGCCCTTCGACCCCTCCGAGGCGTGAATCTAATCGCTCTGGGCTGGGCTGTCCCTGACACTGGCAGGACCGTCACTGCTGGCCTCGCGCCCCTGCCAGGGCTGGTGGCAGGCGGGGGGACAGGGTCTTCCCAGAGCAGCTGGGCTGTGCCCCAAGGGGATTTAGGATCTGCCGGATGGACCCTCCCAGGGAGGCACTTTGCTGTAGGGAGCACAGGGACATTGTGGTCCCCAGTTCCCAGCCCCGTGGGTGGCAGAGCCCTAGGCTAGATGGGCAGAATTTGGCCTCTGTGGTGTCCTTGCTGGTGATGGCTCTGCACAGGGGCTGTGGGACACCCTATACCCCCTCCATGCCTCTAGCCCCTGCTCCCCTGATGGGCTTTCAGGGGGGTGGAGACCCCTGAGCTGCAGCACACAAGGTTTTCGGGGCTGGATAGGAAGGGTTGTTGCTAATGGGCAGAGCAGAGAATGAAGTGAATGCAGGGGACAGGGATCTTGTCTGTGGCAGGTCTGTTTTGCTAGACCTCCCAGTGCTCAGCTCACTAGGAGGAGGCAGCATGGTCTATTGGCGGGGCTGGGCCCTCAGGAGATGGGATTTTGGCTCCTGCAGAAAAAGTGGGAGCAGAGTCATTGGAGACCTCTGAAACCCCATCTGAACTCCCTGGGTACTTGTTCCTGTGCCTAGTCTGGCTCCCTGCAGGCCTGACCCATGCCTGCATACCCTGGAGATGGTGTCTGCACCACAACGGCTGCTTGGGCATCTTGTGCATGCCATGGCCATGCTCCAGGATGGTGTGGAAGTTCCTTACCACAGCTGGTGCCTGGGAGAACCCAGTTACAGGCTATCTCCAGGCTCCGGCTGTGGTTTTGCCTGGGACCACATGTTCCCTGCTTTCCCAAAACACAGAGATGTGCAGGGTGGTACAGAGACCAGACATGGCCCTGGGCATGGGAGCTGGAAAGGGGCACGGTTCCTGTGCCTGCCCCAGTGCTAATGTGGGGTGGGGGCTGTAGGGCTGACAGGAGCTGGAGGGCTGGGCTTAGAAAAGGGCTAGCAGGGGGCTTGGGGGCAGGTCCATAGGGCTGGCCAGAAAGGTGAGGGTCTGTGGCCAAGCCAGGGGAGCAGCAGGTGCCATGGGGAGCATGCCCAGCTTGCCGCTTCTTTGGGGTTCACTCTCGCTGGCCCTGCTGCCTCCCCCTGTACCCCTGGCTCTTGCAGGACCATGTGGGGTGCCCCAGGGGCTGGCTCCCTGG